GTGCCATCTGACAGAATGAGTCCCTTCTTCACCTGATACATCTTTCCACCCAACAGACATCTCTCCTCTGGTACCGCGCGTGCTGGTCCTCACTCCTAACCCTGCTGGGTGATATGGATGGTGACAGTTCTCATCGCTTGTAAGCAGCATCATGGCTGGAGGCTTTGATACTTATCACCTGATCCCCCTGGGTCAGGAGCTCAGATAAATCTTGTGTGGGATGGATGGATGGTGGAGGGCGGGCGGGCAGATGGGTGGATGGTCGTGGATGGATGGCGTGGATGGATGCGATGGACGAGACGGAAAGGTGCGGTGGGTGGGTGGGTGGATGGATGGATGGATGGATGCGATGGATGGACGCACGGCCGAACCGGACGGGCAGCTGGATGGGTGATGGAATGGGATGGAGGACAGGTGGTGATGGGTGGGTGGATGGATGGATGCCGACGGGACAGGTGGGTGGTGGGTGGCGTGGATGAAATGGATGGATGGGTGGATGGATGCATGGATGGATGAATGGATGGAGGGGACAAACATCTATCCAGTTACTGGAAGGTCCACACACAGTTCCCCTATCCCAGGTGAGGACAACAGGAGTTGGAAAAGGATGGGGATGGTCAGCCTGTGTCCTGGCAAGGGTCAAGGGCCTGGGCAAGGGGCAGGTACTCACGCCGAATAGGTCCTGGTCCGCTTGGTGGGCAGAGGGCTGGGTAGGTCCCGAGGTGGGACACCACCCCGCTCCCAGACCCTGCTGCCCTCCCTGTGGAAGGGGAAGGTGGGCCAGACTGGGGACTTGGGGGAGTGGAGCGGGGGCACAACTGGGGGTGACGTGGACTCCGAAGTCATGGTGGGGCCGGCGGGAGAGCCTGGTGAGCTCTGGGGCCCAGGGGCCGATGAGGGGTTTGGGCGTCCTTGCGGGCAGGGCCCGGCCTGGCCCTGCTCTGCGGCCTCACCAGCCACGGGCTCCGTCTGGAAGAGGAAGAAAGAGGCACAAGTGAGCCCAGTCCAGGGGAGCAGCTCCTGGACCCTGGCCACAGTCAGGTGGGCTAGTCCACCTGCTATCCTCACGGCGTGACTTCAAGTCACAAACGACCCCATCGTGGCTCAGAGTCCTCACCAGAAAACAAAACTAGGGGTCTTATGACCCCTAAATCCTTCCAGTTTGCAGTTCAATTCTCTAACTCCAGGAGCCTGGGAGGTGGCTGGGTAGGGTGGCCAGTGATGGTCTGGAATATGGTTTGGCATAAGGGTCAGTTGTTTCAGAGTCACACACGGGTTCAAATCTTAGCTTTGTCACCTACAACTTGGTGACCTCAAGCAAGCCAAGCCACACATCAGCTCCAACATGGCAGGTGGGAGTGTGGGCTCCACACCCAGGCCTGGGTTTGAATCCTGCATCCTCCACCTTCTGGCTACATGGCCTAGGCCCTGGTCAACTTTTTTTTTTTTTTTTAGACAGAGTCTCACTCTTGTTGCTCAGGCTGGAGTGCAATGGCACAATCTCGGTTCACTGCAGTCTCCGCCTCCTGGGTATAAGCGATTCTCCTGCCTCAGCCTGCTGAATAGCTGGGACTACAGGTGCCCGCCACCACGCCTGGCTAATTTTTTGTAGTTTTAGTACAGATGGGGTTTCACCTTGTTGGCCAGGCAGGTCTCGAAATCCTGACCTCAGGTGATCCACTCCCTGTGGCCTCCCAAAGTGCTGGGATTACAGGCATGGGCCAAGTCGTCCGGCCCATTGATCAACACTCTTAACTTCTGACTATTTTCTGTTCTGTAAAATGGGGCTAGCATTGATCCTTTTTTTTTTTTTTTTTTTTTCTGAGACATGGTCTCATCCGGACTGGGGAACACTGACATGATCATACTCACTGCAGCCTCCATCTCCTGGGCTCAAGCAATCCTCCCACCTCAGCCTCCCAAGTAGCTGGAACTTACAAGCATGCACCCTCATGCCCAGCTAATTTTTTTTTTTTTTTTTTTAAGACAGAGTCTCACTCTGTCACCCAGGCTGGAGTACATGGTATGATCTCGGCTCACTGCAACTTCACCTCCCAGGTTCAAGTGATTCTCCTGCCTCAGGCCTCCCAACTAGCTGGGATTACAGGCACCTGCCACAACGCCAACAACTAATTTTTGTATTTTTAGTAGAGACGTGGTTTCGCCGTGTTGGCCAGGCGATCTCGAACTCCTGACCTCAGTTGATCTACCTGCCTCAGCCTTCCAAGTGCTAGATATACAGGCCTGTGACCTCTCCATTTTATACCCCTCTCACCCCAGAACTTGGAGTTTCCAGGGAAGGAAAATCACCCACCAAGGTTCCTGTACGTTTCCTTAGGAGTCCAGAGCTCAGAAAGCCTGAACACACTGCATAGCAGGCCTGGATGAGTCCAGCAAGTCCACTGGAGACGGACTTTTTGGCCTCTGTTCAAGATAATACAGCAAGAGGAATTTTTCTAAGCCAGGATGCTGAGCTGGCTCTGCCATGCCTGGGGGTGGAGGTGGAGTAGTATCCTCCCTCCTCCCAAAACCTCCTCCTGGTCAGGAAGGCGGGTAGACCCGGGCTTGGCTCAACCATCGCAGACCCTCAACCTGAAAAGGCTGATGTCGGGCTTTTCTGTCTGAGCTCACTCCAGGAAGCAGGGCAAACCAGGTTTTGGCCTTTTCACTCCATTATCCTCATTTTGGGGAGAAGAAAACGGAAGCTTCAAGAAACAACCACACAAACACCGGGTGTGGTGGCGCACACCTGTAATCTCAGCACTTTGCGAGGCGAGGTGGGCAGATCACTTGAGGTCAGGAGTTCAAGACCAGCCTGGCCAACATGGTGAAACCCCGTCTCTCCAAAATACAAAATTAATCTGGGTGTGGTGGCGCATGCCTGTAGTCCCAGCTACTCGGAAGGCTGAGCACGAGAATCACCACCATTGCACTCCAGGCTGGGTGGACTGAGCGAGACTCTGTCTCCAAAAAAAAAAGCACCACACCAGTTGGCCATACATGTTTCATCGAATGTCCACACCAGCGCTCATTCACCAACAGCCAACAAGTGAAAGCAGCCCAAGCCCATCAGCAGGTGAATGGATAATAAAGTAGGTCGGTCGGGCACGGTGGCTCACCCTGTAATCCCAGCACTTTGGGAGGCCGAGGTGGGCGATCACGAGGTCAGGAGATCGAGACCAATCCTGGCTAACATGGTGAAACCCTCCGTCTCTACTAAAAATACAAAAAAATAGCCGGTGTGGTGGTGGGCGCCTGTAGTCCCAGCTACTCAGGAGGCTGAGGCAGAGAATGGCCGTGAACGGAAGCGGATAGCTTAGCAGTGAGCTGAGATTGCGCTGCTGCACTCCAACCTGGGCAACAGAGCGAGACTCTGTCTCAAAAAAAAATAATAAAAATAAAAAATAAAGTATGGTCTAGCCACATGGTAGACTAGCACTTGGCCATAAGAAAAAGAAAAGAAGAAATACTGATTCATGCTATACCCTAGATGAACCCTGCACACATTATGCTAGAATGTTTGCAAGGTCATAGAGAAGAAGCCAGTCCCGAAAAAACACAGAGGGCATGATTCCGTCTCTAAGGCAAATCCTCATAGACAGGGAGTCGACTGGTGGTCACCAGGGCTGGGGAGGAGGGAGAGGGGAGGGCTGCCGATGGATAGAACATTTCTTTTTGGGGAATGAAAATGTTCTATAATTGGCTGTGGTGATGGCTGCACAATTCTGTGAATGTACTAAAAACAACTGAACTGAACGCCTTAAGCAGGTGAATTTTATGGTATGTGAACGACATCTCAGTAAAGCCGTTACCAAGAAAAGACGAGGCAGCAAAGTTACCCAAGATGACACAGCTGGGAAGCACCAGACGCCCTGCAGTGAACTCCTAGAGTGCCACCTGCCCCACCTGGGCGAGGGGTGGCAGGCGATGGGAACAGAGGCCCTGCCTCCCTCCCTCTAGGGAGCAGGGCGGGCCTGGCCTCCCGATTGCAGTTTTCCCAGGCCTGGTATTGTGCTTGGCAGTGACAGCCAGTGCTGGAAGGCCATGGAGGGTCAGGGAGGGAAGAGGAGGATAGAGAGGGGGAGATACAGATCATGACGGTTACCAGGGAGACGCAGCTGAGCTGGGGCCTGCTCTGGCCAGCCAGGCCTCCCACCCAAGTGACCACGCGGCTCCAGGGCCTCATGCTAAGTGGGCAACAGGGATGGGGGAAGGACCCACTGATGATTCTGGGCCAGGGTCGAGGGCAGCCTCCCCACGATGGGCTCTCAGGTGGCAGAGAGACCAGAGAGCAGAAGGGAGGCAGAGGAGCCACAGGAAAGACAGGACCAAGAGAGGCAGCGAGTCAGCCTCAGGGCAGGAGCTCAGGCAGGGGCAGGAGACAGGCAGCTTCCACAAGGCAGAGAGAACAGGCTTCTCCCCTGTCCCCCATTGCAGCCTCAGTTTCCTTATCTGGGAAATGGGGATCACACGAATCCCTCCTCCAACCAGCAAGGTGGCGCACGCAAACAATCCCAGCACTTTCGGAGGCCAAGGCGGGAGGATCGTTTAAGCCCAGGAGCTTAAAACCAGCTGGGGCAACATGGTGAAAGCTCGTGTCTACAAAAAATACAAAAATTAGCTGGGCATTGTGGTGGCACACCTGTAGTTCCAGCTACTTGGGCATCTGAGGCAGCAGGATCACTTGAACCCGGGAGGTCAAGGCTGCAGTGAGCCGAAATCACGCCTCTGCAGTGCAGCCTGAGGGACAAAGTGAGACACTGTCTTAAAAAAAAAAAATTAGTTGGGTGTAGTGGTGCATGCCTGTTGTCCCGGCTACTCGGGATGCTAAGGTGGGAGGACTGCTTGAGCCCAGGAGGTCGAGGCTGCAGTGAGTGGTAATCAAGCTACTCCACTACAGCCTGGGCGACAGAGCACAGACCCTGTCTCAAAAAAAAAAAAAAAAAAAAAAAGAGGGGAGAGAGAAAAGACTGTCCTCCAAGGGTTCTTTTGAGGATGAAATGAGAATTGAGGTGGGATGTGGAAAGCACTGAGTAGGCGCTGGGCGAGAGCCTGCCCCTCCCAGACAGGCTGCGGAATTGGGTGTTGAGGGAAGAGGGAGTCGGGGAAGGAGAGACCAGCCGAGCTGGGCCAAGCCACCCATTCATTTCATCCTCTCCTTCTTCCTAAGGATCGCCCACCCCTCACAGCTCCATAGTCTCTTGTTTTTTTTTTTTTTTTTTTTTTTTTGAGGCGAAGTCTCGCTCTGCCGCCCAGGCTGGAGTGCAATGGCCGGATCTCAGCTCACTGCAAGCTCCGCCTCCCGGGTTCACGCCATTCTCGGCTCAGCTCCCGAGTAGCTGGGACTACAGGCGCCGCCACTACTCGCCGGCTAGTTTTTTGTATTTTGAGTAGGACCGGGGTTTCACCGTGTTAGCCAGGATGGTCTCGATCTCCTGACCTCGTGATCCCCCGTCTCGGCCTCCCAAAGTGCTGGGATTACAGGCTTGAGCCACTGCGCGGCCGGCCATAGTACTCTTGTTTTATTAAATTCCTGCAACAGCTCTTAAAGGCTGTGTATTATTACACCTACTTTGCAGACAAGAAAACGAGGCTCACAAGAGGTTAAATCACTCACTCAAGGACACACACCAATCAACAAGTCTGAGCCGGAATTTGAATTAGCATATCCTGGGGCCTTCGAGTGGAAGGACAGGGAGTCCTGTGTCCAGGCCCTGCATTGCTATTGACCTACTGTGTGACCGTGGTACAGGGCCTGGGCTGGGGAGCTGTACAACACCCAGCAGCCCCAGAACCAGAAGGGAACAGAGATACGGAGAACCCTCCGAGTTCAGACCCTCAACCAAACATTGCTGACCAAAGAGGCAAGAATGAAAAGTGAACGTACAGGCCAAAAGCCAGGCGGTGCACGTCTTAATAACGAAAAGGATATATCTTTAGACGATTTCCAACTCCGCCCACGGACACCC